CAAAAAACAGATGTTCCAAGGAAATTTTTATATTTCTTTATAATAAAGTCTATACACTTTCATTAACAACACTTATACTAAGAGACAATAGTTTCTTCCATTTGTTTCTTTCTTTCTTTGATATGAACTTCTTGTATTTCTGCAAGTAAATATAAGAAATACCTACCTATAAAATTAAAGGCAAGAAAACTTTGTTAGAAAAAAGAACTTGTAGAAAAAACACTCTTTTCTCTTCTTTCAGAGATTCAAGACTCTAGAAAAGACTGGCACAATTTTTGGAACTCTTCTCTTATCTTTCTTAAGCTTTCTCTTATCTTTTCAAGCATGTAAACTTTTTTCTGATTTTTTTGAAGAATTTTGTCTACCTCTGTTTGACCCTGGATTTCTGGTTATACCAGAATCCTTAAATGGTAATTGGCTCAAATTTAAAATTAGTTGATTTATATGTAGCAAGAAATATAAACAAAATATGTAACTCCTACATGCTCTATCTTATATAACACAAAACCTGATAATGCAATTGAACATAGTGAAAAGAGCAAGATAACAAGGTGCTTTTTTTATTAAAAAGTGTTATGGTATTCTACTCTCTTCTCTTGGATTGGTTTCTTTTTTCTTCAAGATCAAAAGAAGTCTCATTCCAATTCAATAAAAAGCTTATTCTGTTGTTGATTATCTCGAGAAGGTAGCAAGCATTAGTATAAGTTTTGTCTCAAGCAATAATTCCCAATAGGTATAAAACTTGTTTTAAGCAGTATGTAAGTCTTGTAATAAATATCTTGAACGTTCTTGATCAGCAAGAGAATAGTGAAAATTAAATGATTTGTCTGGCTGCAGGTAATATTAAAGGATTTATCCTGATGGATCGAAGTTGATATTGGAGAATTTTTATTTATTAAAACAAACTTTTTATTTACTTTTTTTACTTACTTTTTTTTTTTCTCTTAAAAATAAAAATTTTTTTTATCTCTTAGGACTACAGGTTCATGTAGAAGTAATAGCCTGAATATAGACTAGTAATGATTTTTCTTAAGACCAAAGAGCGGTCTTAAAAAAGAAGTGATTTTATTATTCCTCACAATCAAGCTTAGAGAGTTAAGATTTGAAAAGTCTAAAATAGTTAATATCATACAGTAATAGCTTATGAACTCCTTTGTAGTGAAATAATTAGTAAATAGCTAAATTATATGAACAATATGGTAATCTTGATATTAAAGATTCAAGGATCATGTATAAATCTAAAAATAACTTGTTAATAAGTGTTCTGCAATATGCACAGTTTAGCTCTAGTATAAAATCTTAGGATTTAATATACTATTGTTTTATTTATATAAAAATCAATAATTAATAAACATAGTGATTGCAGTTTGATTAGAGACAAAAAAAAATAATAAATAATAAAAACTTTTTTTTAAAGTATTAAGTAAAATATTTCTTATAATCTTTATTAATTAAGTAAAAAATATTACTTAATTAATGTTTAGATTTTAAAATATATTGCTATATACAGTATATTAGCCTACTATCATATAGATATATTTAATAAAAAATCTTTTTTTAAAAAAAACAAACAAAAGAAACTATTTATATTTGAAAAGTTAATGCTTTTTTAATAAAATAAAATAAAGACTTTTAAAAATATTTATTATATTTATAAATAATCTTGCATTCTTACTACATATATTAATTAAAAAAAATAGATTGTATGCAGTGGTTTTATTATATTTAAAATAAAAAATAAGAACGGGGGTATTTTACATGGGTGTTTACAAAAACGATATATATAATCAATGTCAGTGTCGCGCGCACGTACTTCCCGAAACGTTGGATAATTAGTAAGAATGAATCACACCAGTTCAACAATACACGAAGCTTCACAGCCTTGGTCAGAAAAATAGTAAGTTGTGTAAATAATGTTCAATACACGTCTGATTTATAAAGAATATAAATTAAACGTATCTCGCATATCATAGCCGACCCAGATCGCTAGACGATATAAGTGCGCAGGAAGAAACTGTGGCAGTATTAAGAAAAACGATCGTGTCCCAAAATGTGAGTTATGCATATGTTTCCAGTAAAGTTTTTAGAATCACTTTTCTGACTAATTAAAAATGGTATAGTTGCCCCATATGTTGTTTTATGGACCTCCAGGAACGGGTAAAACCTCGACAATCTTGGCGATAGCTCGAGAGCTTTACGGGTAAAGTAAAACTAGGTCTTAATTAATTTATCGAATTAGTATTTAATTTATCTTACATTCAGACCAGAAAATATGAAAATTCGCGTCAAAGAGTTAAATGCATCAGACGATCGTGGAATTGACGTTATTCGGCAAAAGGTTAAAAAATTTGCGCGTAATACCATTGGAAATCCCATTAGGTAAGATGAGGATGCACGAAATATGTTTCTCCTATCTACGTCGTGTTATATCTAATTATTGCTGTTGTGAAATAGCGATGGTTATTCATGTCCGCCATATAAAATAATAATATTAGATGAAGCTGATTCAATGACACACGAAGCCCAGGCTGCCTTGAGACGTTTAATGGAAGATTATTCTACGACTACACGTTTCTGCATAATCTGTAACTATGTGACACGGTAATGTATAAAATTGTGTCTTATGAATTTAGATGAACTCAAATTTATTTACAATTTATTAAATTGAAAGAATTATTGAGCCGATAGTTTCGCGTTGCGCCCAGTTTAGATTTAAGTCATTAGATAATTTTAGCGCGAAATCTAGGCTTCAAATGATATGCGATAAGGAACGAGTCATTTATGAACCAGAGGTAATAGCATTTAACGTAATTTGTAACAATCTTTCATTAAATCTATTTAATTTTAAATTAGGTATTAGATGAACTAGTAAAAGTGGCAAATGGAGATATGAGAATGGCAATAATGTATCTTCAAACAGCCTATTCCGTGTATAAAGATGAAGTGATTACCACGAAATTTGTAAGAGAAATAGCAGGGGTATATATATATATATATTTAGTGTATATCAAATTGAATAAACCTATTAATTATGTTCTACTAGTTCATACCCGATGCTGTAATTGAAGAGCTTATTCAAAGTGCGCAAAGTCATTCATTCAACAATATTGAAAAAGCCGTTTCTCACTTCATTTTGTCAGGGTATTCAGCTGTTCAATTATTGTCTCAGGTACACTATCTATTCGGTTCACTTTCTTGAGTTTATTATCTGCTATCACTATTAATTATGTACTTTATAGATTCAAGATCATATTGTATACGATAATGATAACAGATTCTCAAATATTCAAAAAGCGAATATGGCAATTTGTATTGGTGAAATGGATAAATGTTTGGCAGATGGATGTGATGAGCATTTACAAATTTTGAATTTGATTGCCACTATTTCAAAGAATATATTATTCTCTGAGGAAATGATTACCGATTAATAGAAAATTACTAATCTAGTATAGTCAATTAGCATTGTAATACTTCATTTTACTCAAAATAAATATTCAGATTCAATTAGTTACAATATTATGTTATAATTATTTGACATATTCTTAATTATAATATTAAAATTTTTATTACCGTATTCTCCTAGCTTAAGCTTTCACGATTATTTGCACCCTCTATTTTAATGCTAAAAAAGGGCGTTTATAACCATTAATAATGTATATACAATAGTCAGTACATAAGTTAATCCGTATGTAACAAGTAAATGTTAAATTTATTGGTTGTTGTATAACCGTATGCACTTATATAATTTATTTTGAACTATTAGATACTTTTTCAAATACTTTTTCAGTCTTATCTTTTTAGTTACAATAGTATATAATAAATTAGCTTACTTAATAATCTAAAAAGAAAATTTATTATGACTTTGTTATCACTTCTTGATTTTACAAACACTGTGTACAAAGTATCATATTTTAAATTTATTATTATATAAAATAATAAATAATAATTTTATTTAAAATTTTAATGTTATTATTTGTATTTTAAAAAAACACCTGTATAATTTTTATGTTTTTTTAACAAATAAACGTTAAATTAAATATAAATACATTTCTTTTCTAATATTTTTAATTTCAAAAATATACCCATTATTTAACTAAAAATCAATACAATAAAATTATAGGTTTCTATAAAAATAAACAATCTTATTAAAATTTATTTTAATAGAAACAATTTTGTTACTTTTTCTAAATTTGAATACTATATTTTTTTAATTATAAGTATTTCTCAATTATAAGCATTCTTTAAATTTTTAAAAAAATTTATTTAAAAAAATATACAAAAATTAATATATCTTAATTAAGATTCAGAAAAATATTGAACTAATATTAATCTGATATCAAAATAGTACCAATCTATAGTAAATTTAATATATAAGTTGTGGCCTCTTCTGTAAATTTATAGTAAATTTAAGTATCAAACTGATATTAAAATAATATTAAAATAGTATTGTTAAAAGTTCTAATCTTAATATATAATAATTGAATTTTAATAAGTTCTATTATTTAATTTCTTTTAATAAGAGTTTGTTAATAATATATTTTTTTATTTAAATCAAATTAATATTAATTAATTTATTAAAAAAATAATATCTTTTAATTATAAATACTTTATAAAAATAAATTTAATACAAATACTTAAAAAAATAAAAAAATAAGACCTGTGGGTCTATAGTGTAGTAGTTAACATTCCACAGGTCAGATCACAAAATACCAGTTCAACCCCAGGTGAAGGCAGTTGATCCGAATTAAAAATGATATCTGGGGCCATAACCTGTTAAGCCCTGTTTCCTATAGAAAGTCATTCACACGCTGATCCAGTGGGACGTTGGGATTGTAATCTTCAGAAAAGGTGTTGTGGCATGACGATCATCCAAGTGGTGTCACGATGATTGCCAGAAGTATGCCAATGGTAGTTGAGTAACATGGTAAGTTAAGAGGCATGTGCTCATCTTCCTTAATCAAGACTTCCCTTGCGTTTGTGTATACAGACTGGGCTGTACTTCATCCTAATCAAATCCCGATCCGCTCCTTTCAACAGTGGTTAGAGCCCTAGTCTAGAATATCCCAATCCAGTGCAGAGCCTAATTGGTTTGAAAAATAACCAGCCGCAGG